CTGCCTCCCTCGATGAGCTCCGGGATGCCTGGCGGGGCTTCGGTGTCAGGAGCCTCCGGGCCCCCCGGCTTGGCCGCCACAGGGATGATGGGTGCCCCTCGGAACCTGGGGGGGGAGATGGAGCCCGGTCAGGGCGGCCGGCCGGCACGCAGGGCGCATCCTCGCCCGTGCCTTCAGGGGCGCCAGGGAGACAGGGCCGCTGTGCCGTGGGGAGCAAGGCCAGCAGGACCCTGCCTCTCCACACGGGCGCGTCGCAGATCAGAGCTTCCGAAGACGCGAACTCGGACCAGGAAGGACACGGCGGGCAGCGCTCGCGTCGTCGATCGCAGGCTGTGACAGCAGGGAACGGACGGGACAGGGCGAGCGCCTGTGAGAGACCGACGTCACGGATGACGCCGAAACCACACGGGCACAGAGGGGCTGCCTCTGCCCTGCGGCCTTGCCCACGCAACGCTGACCTCGCGGCGCACCGAGTTCTCTGCTTCCAGGATTTCTCTAGTTAGCTGGCCACCACCCACCTCGGGACGAGGGCTCTTTCCTGGCTCCAAAAATAAACAGGAACGAGATGAGACCAAGCGGCCGAGCTCACGCTGGACGGGCCACCTGTGCAGCCCGTGGGCACTCGGACAGACGGCGCTCCGAGCGGCTCCTCACACAGCGAGAGGGATGCAGGCAGCTGGGTCAGCTCTCACAGGAAGCGGCCCTCGCCACGCCCAAGGACACCCCAGATGCATCGCCCGCCTGCCGCGCTGTCAGGCCACCTCTCTCCCCAGCATCCCGGCTGGCTCCTGCCCTCTTGCCACGGCCCAGCCCCTGCTCCGGGACCCTGACGCCCCACCCCTCTGAGGCCCTCTGGCTCTGCGGCCCTCCCTGGGGCACTTTCTCCACCCCATGCCCCCCACCCCCGCTGAGGACCACTCCCAAGTCCTGCCCTGGGTCAAGCCGCCCGTCCAGCATGTGGGCCCACCCTGCCACCAGGGCCCAGCTGCTGCCCAGCCTCGCTGCTGGCACGTGCGGTGGGCAGCAAGCCTTCCCAGGCCTCAGGAGCGGCCGCCTCTGGCTATCTGGCCGTTCCTCGGGGTCTGGCTCTAGACCTTCCCTGACAGTCATCCACAGTAAGGGCCACTGTGGGTCAGGCCTGTCACCGCACGCTGCCAGCTGCTCTCCACAGTCCGTGCACACCGGAACCAGGCCCTGACTGTGGCTGAGAACCTGCTGGCAGGGCTCGGAGGTGCCCGGTGGTGGCCCGGGAGGAGTCGGTACCCAGGCTGCCACCCAGGCCTCCCCCTGGATCCAACTTGCACACACATAAGGCCTGCCCAGGACTGAACTTGGCCCGCCCCGCCCTGGCCTCTCCTGCTCCGTCCTCACTGCCCACCCCTCCCACAGGCATCCTTGGCCGCGGTGCCTCACCTGGGCCACCCCGCCCTGGCACAGAGCGGGGGCCGACGTGCCAGAACACCGAGCGCCATGCAGAAGCAGCCCGGGCCCTGAGCAGCCTCGGTGCCGACCTGCAGGCCACACTGGGGCCCCTGCTTGGCTCCTTGCCCTCTAGTCCCCCAGACCCTGAGCCCAGCCGGGAGCAGGTCTCCTGCTCCCTCCCTGGGCGCTCTCTAGCCCGGCAGCCAGGCCACCCACAGGGTCTGAGAACGCAGCATGGAGAGGGGCTCAGGCCCCAAAGGTAATATTCTCCCTCGCTGGGCCCTGACCCCGGCCAGGAGGGACAGAGCGGGCAGCGGCGTGCACGGAGCATTCCTGAGATTAGCCAGAAAGCTTTCGGAAATTCGATTACTCTGCCCGGGCCCTCTGGCCAGCAGACTGCAGGAAAGGCTCGAGGCCCACCGCCCGCGTCTGGCCCCTTCCCAGGCTGGGGGTGGGGGCCCTGCCTGTGACTTCCTGAACGTGGCGCACACGGGCTTCCCGGCGCCTGGCCCCGGGGCCGGTCGGCTGATGGAGCAGAGGTCTGCAGCAGGGGCAGTCCCAGTGTGGCCACCAGAGCCTCTGTCCTCAGGCCCCCTCTGCCCCCTGGGCTCCTCCCTGCCCCCGGCCTCCCCTGCCCCAGGCCTCTGTCCCTGGGTCCCCTCTGCCCCCTGGGCTCCTCCCTGCCCATGGACCCCCTCTGCCCCCCGGGGTCCCCCTTCCCCGGCCTGCCCTCTGCCCCAGGACCCCCCATCCCGGGCCCCCCCTGCCCAGGGCCCCGCTGTCCCAGCCCCTGCAGCCCTCCTCTGGATCAGCCCAGCTGACAGGGCCACCTGGCCTGTGCCAGCACACAGAGCAACCTCAGACAGTTCTGAGAACGGGCATGGCGGCCGGCGTGCATTTGAGTCCTGGCCTGGTAGCTTGAAGATCGTACTGGGTGTATGTGTACACGTGCATGCCCAAGATCCCAGGAGAGCCCAGAGGGACTGCCGCGTGGCCACCCCTCTGGGGGCATCTCACTTGCTCCCGCGCTCTCTTCAGTAGGCACATGTCCCTATAACAAGAAGTTTAAAAAATAAATACACACACACAGGACCTTACAGCCCACATGAAGGCACGCGGACAGACAGAACACGAGGTCCAGGGTGGGCAGTGCGTTTCAGGCGGCCACACTCACCCGGGACATCCATTGACACTCGGGCTGCGTGTAAACCTACCTCTGACTTAGCCAGGCGGC